ATCCTCTTATTTCTTCTAGAAAGGGTGTCATTTCAATGTCCCCGAAGCGAAACATAGATCTCTCACAGTCCCAGTACAAAGTGGCAGCTTTTATGATCATGTTGTTGGGTTGGAGAGAAGGTAGGTTGCCCCGATATTTGCGGACAAGGGTTTGATCATTGGAGTGAAGATCCTCCCACTAGCTTAGCAATTTTGGGTGGATGTTGGTGACCATGCAGAACCTGGGGACTTTGTGCCTCATATTTCTATAAGACAAAAAGGGTTAGGCCCTTACCCCTACAGGACTCAACTATTTAATATCAACAATTGGCATAAAGCATTTAGTTCTCCAAATAAATGCACAGAACGTGGTAATGTCCGTTTGGGTTTTAGGGAAACCCAGTGGACTTTGGACAAGGCTATCTTAAAGAGTCATTATGCGGACAACATAACTTACTAGGCTAGGTTTGACCATGATGCATATATAGTTTAAACAGACTAAGGTTTCTATGGGATTTTAGACTGGTACCCTTGAGGGGACAACTCAAGGGGGAAAGGCACAGAACCATTGACTACACCGTTGATAGACTGGTTTTACCGCAAATATGCCTTTTCCGAATATAGGGGTGATAATATCGGAAAATCGCAATCACTCATTATAAGCATTGCTATAGGATTTGTTTGACACGAGTGGAATATGATGTTGAGCATGTTATGCAACAATTAAAGGCATATTGTCACGTATTTGCATGTTATTACCCGTCCCATTCCTATCAGTCCCGAAGGCACTTAGAACTACTAATCCTAAAAGGGAGGGATGTTGGGCTTATTTGGAGTTTCAAAGGTAAAAATTCTAAAGCGACATACAAAACACATATGCATGTTTGTGGAAACATATAAACAAACAGAGGCTCATGTATACCTCCTCAAACAAAACACATAAATAACATGTTTTGCACGTACTATTTAGGTCTGATTTAAAAGCATTAAAGACGAGGGAGATGAGATTGTTGAGGCAGTTTTAGTTTATTGCATAACTCAGATAAGAAGTCCGAATTTGGCCTACTTGCTAGTTGTAATAATTAACAGAAGTAGATTCGGTTTTCAATTATTGCTCTAAGGATTGCCTAAGTATTTAGATGGGGTCATATAGGCATGATATCTAATGAATTCAGAAGGTAATGAAACAGTAAAACTTGGAATGAATTATTTGAAATCGTATATGCATACTTGTTAAGCTAGCTAAATGAGGGGCTCAGATTATTAAAAGAGATGCAGAATGCACAAAATTAAATAAATTGATTGCAGATTCTGCAGGTGATAGCATCTACTATCACTGATTTTATATCTAACAATGACTTTGATTGAAAACGAATCAGATTTATTTAGAAACCCCTATAGGCATGATTTCTATACGTTACTAAGTTTGGATCCTTATAGACATGGCATTTAAATGCAGAAAACCCTATAAACATGGTATCTATATGTAGAAGCCTTAAAGACATGGTATTTATATGCAGAAGTCTTATAGATATAGTATCTATATTTAGTTGAATATGCAGAATTAGAACAGTCATATAGGCATGGTTTCTATATGTAGTTGAATATGCAGAATTAGAACAGTCCTATTGGCATGATTTCTACCCTTTGCATGCATAGTCACCCACCCTTATTCACTAGCCAGCTCCAAGTGTTTATTACAACTTATTACAACCCAGAATAAATTACCTCAGAAAGAAAAATACAACCAGAGGAGGTTTGATTCTTGACTTTCTCTCTGAGTTACAAGATAAACCAACTCAAAGAACATTGATCCAAAGCCTTTCTCCAATTTGAGTGTGTGAGAGTTCCCTAAGAGCCTCAATGGGACTCCGGGCAGTGCTCACACCCAAATTGTATTACCAGAATAGGGACAAGTGCAGTGTGGAAGTGTCATCTCTCAAGTGTCCAAGTTTCGAGGGAGCTCATGGGACAAGGCTCACAAGAGGGGGGCAGAATTTAAATAAGAGAGAGTGCAAGTGAAGAAACAGAGTTCTGAGGGAATAAAGGAGAGGGAAATAGGTGCTGGGAAACAGACATAAACAAGTTAATAATTTCATACAAAAGGGATTTAGGGGTTGGGAAATTGCAGAGAGCCTATGTACTTAGGCATTAGTTATTTTTGGGCATGCACAACAATAAGGAGTGCTGTTATGCTTACAAAATCAACCAGAATACACAACACATAATGATAACATAAAGGCTATGATGCCAGGGAATCAAGTTTGAGTCATAGACAGCAATACATAATACTGTCATGCCTCCAACAAGCCATCAGTATCAAACATATTGGGGTAGGAGTTTATGACATATAATAGATTCAAAACAGGTAGAAGGAGATTACAACATGCTAAAATAAGTACTGAATTAATCACAAGCAGTAGGCAGACAAGAAGGCAAAAGTATTAAGTAAACATATTGTTGTTGATGCTGAAATCTGAATCAGAACATACCAATTTAGAGAAGCAAAATATAGCAAGACTTTGAAGACAGGCCACAGTACAAGTAGTAAAGCAAGAGAATGTTTTTGAATGTAAGTGATTTCAGAACTAAGTGTGTTCATGTGTCTTTGTGTTAATGAAATAGCAGGGTATTTGTAGTTTGAAAATAGGTAAAAATAAGGCAAGAATCATAGTTCAGCAGCAACTATGAAATTATTTACTAATTAAAATCAAATTAGTAGAAGGACTTCTTTTAATTAATGAGTTAAAATCAAACGGTAATGGGCAGAAAGCATTTAAGGAAAGAAATCAAGTAAGCATCATGTGCAGAGTAGACAATTAGGGGTAAGTGCATATAGGTTTAATTAAGGGAAGAATCTTTGAAATACATGGTTAGCCAAATAAGCTAAGAAAACAAAATAAAGTTGCAGAATATAGAGACAATCGAAAATCAGTTCATAGCAAATCAAGGAGTTAAGGATTTCAAAATCACTGATCTAAGGAGAGTGACATGAGTTCCCAAGAATAAACAAGTAAACCAAGTTAAAGACAAGAGAATCGAAAGTCTAAGGAAAGTTTTCAAATCAACCCAAGAAACAGGGAAATCAGTAAGGCGAAACAAGGAAAGAGCCAATCACTTAACACATGAATGCAATCAAAATTACACAATGAGGTTTGAAATCAGTCCAAAATTGAAGGTCATTTCAGAGGGAAATCCAGCATATAAAAGAGTGCATAAACATTAGGCATGCAAGGCTGAATTTAGGACAAAGAGAAGTGTCATACAATCACAAAGTTAGTAAGTAGTGGACTATCGAAACATGGTAGTCACATAGGTCAATCTTAGTAACTCAGTAATAGAGAAAAGAGAGAGTATCAAATAGCATGCAAAGGGTAAAGTGAATAAGACCCTATAGTAGAGTTTCAATAATAGTAGGAAGCCAAAAACAAATTACATAAAGAAACAGAGGCTGGAACAAAAGATTTCGAAATTCAGTCGAGCAACAGATAAAGAAACTTCAGAAACTCGATTAGGTCCAAAGAAATTAGGGTTTTGAAAACAATCGAATTTAGAGCATAACGAACAAGTAAATCATATAGCAAATAGTCTAAGAACTCGAATGAAACCCAAATTTTAGGATTTTCACCATCAATCGAGTATAGAGATGAAAACAAGTAAATCGGGCAAAAATACTAACAAAACAAGTTCAAAAGTCTCAAAAAGGTTAAGGCCCTTAACATGCAAACTCAAGTAGACAAACGACCTAAGAAAACACAGTAGAATGTGTTAAAAATCAGAGAAAGCTTTGAAAAAAAACTTAACAAAACCTAAATCGAAGAAGATAAGGGGTTTTGAAGGCAGAGTTTTGAAAGAAACCTTGAGAAAAACGTTTAGAAGTTTAGAGTAAATACAGATCTAGAACAGATCTAAAGAAATCGGAAGAACCTCAAAAGTTAGGGTTTCAAATGAACCCAGATAGTGAGAAAGGCTTGGAAACCATCGATCTAAGCAGGAGAAGTCAAGAGTCAGGCTTGAATAGCCATGGTTGGCTAGAACAAAGTCGAAGATGACCGGAGGCAGCCATAAGAACTAAAATCGACCAAGGTCTGGACCGAGCTTTCCCGACCTAGCCTTGAAACCATAGTACTCGAACACGTAGAAGTCAAAGGAAGTGGATACATGCCTTCAATGGCTTCGGAGTCCATGGATTTGGGAGATTTCATGGTGGTGGTTGAAGGTGGCGGCTACGGTTTGAGAGGGAACTGAGAGAGGGGGGAGGGGGTTTGAAGGCAGCTGCATGTGAAAATGATTAGGGTTTTGGGTGGTTGGGAATTAAAAAAGGAAAGGGCTGATGTGAGCCGTTGATCTGGGATTAAAAGGGAATCCGGACGGGTTATTTGAAAAGGGTCGTGGGTCGGGTAAATTAGGATTTGGGTTGGGTAATTGGGTTTAAAATTGGGACGCCTCCTTCTTTATATTGAAACAAGGAAAAATCCTTAATTAGTACAGTTGTCATAAATTGTTTACATATCCTAATCTACATCTTCAATCTCGGCAATTATTATATTTAAAAAAATTACCTTCGCTTAGTTGACAATAAAAGTCTTTTTTTGGAACGTGTCTATGACTTGTCACGCATTTTCTTATGTAAACCTATCTGCTAAAGACGGAATCAATAGGAAAAAGGATTGAAAAGTCGACCAGATAATTATTTTTTTATTTTTGGCAGAATGATATGTTTTGTACGATTTTGTCAAAACTTTATTATAAGTTACAACTGTCTTAACTTTAATAAATTGGGAATAAATCTGCGATTAAATTTTAGTTGTGGTCATCTAATTTTGTGTTCATTATATCCAAAAGTCACTTTTTCTATTTGGTTACGTAAAATTTATTCTATTTTGTTTTGATCATCTAAAAAACTGAGAAATATTTTGTTGGAAGAAGACTTTGTCAACCACCATAGAAATTAAGATAGGAAAAGAAAATTTGGCAGAGAAGAAAGAGAGGGGGGGGNCCATCTCCTTCTATTAAAGTTCAAAGAAAACCCTCTCATACAAACTTTTCTTATTTGAAGTGCTAGTAGCTAGTTGTTTATTTCCTTCTCTCCTATTATATCACTTTATCTTTTACCACAACTACAATTTATCCACATACAGGTTTTTTACTTTTCAATTGAATCAATGGCATCATCTTCTGCTTATGCGAGTACTTCACAGTTTCCTCGGTGGAACTACAAAGTCTTTCTAAGTTTTAGAGGCGATGATACTCGAAGAACATTTATAGGTCACCTCTTCAAAGGCTTGGAAAATAGTGGAATATTCACGTTTCATGATGATAAAAGGCTAGAGCATGGTGCATCAATATCGGATGAACTCTTGAAAGCTATCGAACAGTCTCAAGTTGCCCTCGTCGTTTTCTCAAAGAATTATGCAACATCGAGGTGGTGCTTAGATGAGTTAGTGAAGATCATGGAATGCAAGGATCAATGTGGACAGACTGTCATACCAGTCTTCTATGATGTGGATCCATCACATGTTCGGAAACAGACGGAAAGCTTTGCTGAAGCCTTTGACAAACATGAAACAAGCTATAAGGATGATGATGAAGGAATGCAGAAGCTCCAAAGATGGAGGAATGCTCTAACTGCTGCCGCAAATCTAAAAGGATATGATGTCCGTGACGGGTGAGTTAAGAACACATAGTAATTTCTTACAATGAAAAAAAATGGAATACTACAAAGAGAGTTTGCTCAAGTGCTAAGGAATAATTTAGGTTGCGGGTTCAAGTTACTATAGTAGCAAAGTGAGGAGCTCAAAAGGAATAATTTTCCTTCAACTGCAGTTGCTTATGTGAAGAGTACATATTTTACTATAGAAAAAGAATCTATACCTCAAAAAATGAATTAAACAGAAAAGACACTAAATTAATTTATCATATTTACAAAATAAAAATTAAAAGGTGGAAGCTTAATTAATTTATTTTGTTAAGAATACTGCGTACACAATCTAACTTCATTGATTGTCATTTACACGTTAAAAATATTTTTATCTTTATTTTCCTGAAAAAAAGGAATGATGGTTGTTATATATGTCTCTATCAATAAGAAGGTATTGTTCCTATCAATATAATTAGAGAGAATAAAAAAAAACGTCTTAAGCTATTCACGTCTTGCTAGTACCCCAGAAGACACTATAGTTCCTATCACTTCAATTCCTCAATAACATTCTTGCACATATAATATTTTGATTGCTCCTTCAAGAGTTTGTTTTATGTGTGGTGTCTTTTAATCATCTCTATGTAAATTAACAATATTTAGTAGCTCAGTTTGTTGGTTATTTGCCCAGTTGATGAGAGTTCGATTCCTTGACTCTAGCAGCTCAATATTTAGTAGCTCAGTTCAATATTTAGTTTCTCTCCCTTTCCCCTACCCCTATGTAAACAAAAAATTAATTATGAAATGCGTACTAATACTTGGCTTTCTTACATTTATCTACAATTGATTTTTTTTTATTTTCGTAGGATTGAAGCGGAGAATATTCAGCAGATTGTCGACCAAATTTCCAAATTGTGCAATAGTGCTACTTTGTCTTCTTTGCGAGATATTGTGGGAATAGATACTCATATGGAGAAATTAAAGTCCCTACTTAAGGTAGGAACCAATGATGTTCGGATCATATTGGGGATCTGGGGCATGGGCGGTCTAGGGAAGACGACAATAGCAAGAGCCATTTTTGACACTTTGTCTCATCAATTTGAAGCTGCTTGTTTCCTTGCTGATATTAAAGAAAATGAAAAACTGCATTCTTTGCAAAACACTCTTCTTTCTGAATTGTTAAGAAGAAAAGATGATTACGTCAATAATAAGCTTGATGGGAAGCGGATGATTCCAGACAGACTTTGCTCTAAGAAGGTGCTAATTGTGCTTGATGATATAGGTCATAAAGATCATTTAGAGTATTTAGCAGGTGATATTGGTTGGTTTGGTAATGGCAGCAGGGTTGTTGTAACAACTAGAGACAAGCATCTGATGGGGAAGGATGATGCAATATATGAAGTGACTGCATTACCTGATCATGAATCCATTCAATTATTTTATCAACATGCTTTTAGAAAAGAAGATCCAGATGAGTGTTTTAAGGAACTTTCATTGGAGGTAGTAAATCATGCTAAAGGCCTTCCTTTAGCCCTCAAAGTGTGGGGTTCTTTGATGCATAACCTAGGCTTAACTGAATGGAAAAGTGCTATAGAGCACATGAAAGTTAATTCTAATTCGGAAATTGTTGAAAAGCTCAAAATCAGTTATGATGGATTGGAGCCCATCCAACAAGAGATGTTTCTAGATATAGCATGCTTCTTGCGAGGGGAAGAAAAAAATTACGCCATGCATGTTCTTGAGAGTTGTCATTCTGGAGTTGAATATGGATTGCGTGTCTTAATTAACAAATCTCTTGTGTCTATCTCTGAAAATGATCAAATTCAAATGCATGACTTAATACAGGATATGGGTAAATATATAGTGAATTTTAGAAAAGATCCTGAAGAACGTAGCAGGCTATGGCTCGCCGAGGAAGTCGAAGAAGTGATGAGCAACAATGGAGTAAGTAGCATAAGTGATGCAATAATATTTAATTTCTAATGTTTATATTCCAAAGACATATAGGACAGTCAATTCCAATTATTTGTTCATCTTGCTTCATATTTTGGTTGTTTATTTTAGTTAATAGGAAAAACAAAAGTAATATTAATTGCCTAATTAGTTTAAAAAATGATATTAATTGCCTAATTCGTTAAGTAGCCTCTTTAATTTATGTTGCCTAATTCGTTTTTCTTATATTTTTTTAGAGATTGATTAGTCTAGCTAGTAGCCACTTAATCTGTTTGATCCAATTTCATTCTTTGGATTAACTTGAAAATTTTATGACATTTTATTACATAATAACTCAATCAGAGATTCACTTTACCATTATTTATTTTATTATTTTAAAAAGTCACTACAATTTATTGGTATTGTTTCAATTACAGTTTCTTTCTATTACAACATGAAAAGCTTATAAACTTAACTCTAATGAACTTCTAAGAGAAATGTAATATTAGAAACAGAACTATAGAATTAATTGCAAAAAGTATTTCTCTGACATAACATCAGTATATCCTAATGATCTTCTTACCAGGGGACCATGGCAGTGGAAACAATTTGGCTTCATTGTAATTTTAGGACACTAAGCTTTAACAATGAGGCCATGAAACATATGAAAAGGCTTAAGATATTAAACATAAAGAGTTGGGCCTATCATGGCTCCTTTGAGTATCTGTCCAACAACTTGCGTTGGTTAGTCTTGGATGGCTATCCTTGTGAAACATTGCCATCTACATTTGATCCCAAAATTCTTGTTAGCCTTAACCTCCGGGGCAGTTCACTGCATTATTTATGGATGGAAACAAAGGTATAATAGTTAAGTTTTATTTTACTTTTATTTTTCTTTCTAACTGTCTTTGTCTTTTAATTTAGTGATAATGAACAAATATTATTACTTTTGTCACGTATTATTTGAGGTACTTTGTATTTTTGCTAGAAATGTGATGCATGTCTTTAAATGAACAAAAATTATTAACTCCATAAGCTCAAATTAATGTATTTCCATCTCAAAAAAATTATTGTAATTTATATTATTTGGGGTTGTTCCCAGTATTGTTGTAAGATCTTTATGTCTTTTTTCTCAAAAAAATTATTGTAATTTATATTATTTGGGGTTGTTCCCAGTATTGTTGTAAGATCTTTATGTCTTTTTTCTCAAAAAAATTATTGTAATTTATATTATTTGGGGTTGTTCCCAGTATTGTTGTAAGATCTTTATGTCTTTTTTCTCAAAAAAATTATTGTAATTTATATTATTTCTCATAGTAAAATCAGATTCATATGAATTTCATCCTAGAGCTGTACATAGTGGGACGGAAGTAATACTTAATAGTAAAACAAAAGGAATGTATTGTGTATTACTATTTTCTTGAATGACATATATGCTTTCATACATTGCTTCCGGATTTAACATTTGGGTTTTCCCATTTTATATTACACTTTTTTAAAGAGAGAAACACTTTTCTCTTTGCTACAGTTTTTTTCAATCATGTTAAATTATAATTAACAATATTTTATTTATAATTTACTTTTATTCAGTTTCTTAACAAGTAATTTTTCATATATAAAAAATAAATTTCTAATTTCACACAAAAATAATGTGTTGGCCCTCATAAATCAAATGCTATCATTCATTTCTTTTCTTGTGATAAATACTTTTAGGAAAGCTAGCAATAAGATATTAAGAAAACAGAGGTCATTTGATGTCCAAAAATACAAATGAAACAAACAAGGTTTCTACATTCATAGATAGCCAAATATTTTATTATTGGAATCCAGTGGAGGAGCAAAATAGGTTCTTTTTTTCTTCTCTATCTCATTCTGTTTGTATTCTGAACAGCAATTGTCGTCTCTACGGACGCTAGATCTCAGATACTCTAAAAGCCTGGTGCAAACACCAGATTTCACGGGGATGCCAAATTTGGAGTATTTGAATCTGTCTTCGTGTTCTAATCTTGAAGAGGTTCACTATTCCCTGGGATGTTGCAACAAACTCATTCGGTTAAATTTGTGTTTTTGTAAAATACTTAAGAGGTTTCCATGTGTTAACGTGGAATCTCTTGAATATTTGGGTTTAGAATTTTGCTATAGGTTAGAGAAATTTCCAGAAATTCACGGGAGAATGAAGCCTGGGATACAGATTCACATGTCATCCTCTGGGTTAAGGGAACTGCCATCCTCTGTTTTTCAGTACCAAACTCATATTACCAAGCTAGATTTGAGTAATATGGAAAACCTTGTAGCTCTTCCAAGCAGCATCTGTAGGTTGAAAAGTTTGGTTAGTCTGAGTGTGAATTGCTCAAAACTGGAAAGCTTGCCAGAAGAGATAGGGGATTTAGACAACTTGGAGGAGCTTGATGCCAGTGCTACTCTAATTTCACGACTTCCGTCTACCATTGTACGCTTGAACAAACTTAAAGTCTTGAAGTTAGCTGGATGCTTCAGATACAATAGAGTGCACTTTGAGTTCCTTCTGGCTGAAGGATTACGCTCATTGGAACATCTGGATCTCAGTCGCTGCAACTTAACAGATGGAGAACTTCCGGAAGATATTGGATCCTTATCCTCTTTGAAAGAGTTGGAGCTCAGAGGAAATAATTTTGAGCATATTCCTCGAAGCATAGCCCAACTTGGTGCTCTTCGATCCTTAGACTTATCATATTGCAAGAGGCTTACACAACTACCAGAATTTCCCCCTGAATTAAATAAATTGCGTGTAGATTATCTTATGGCTCTGAAATTTATCCATGATTTAGTAACAAAGAGGAAGAAACTACAGATGGTGATATTCGCACCACTGTATGATAAGGATGATGCAGACAATAATTCTATATATAATTTGTTTGCACATGCCCTGTTTCAGAAAATCTCTTCCTTGAGGCATGACATCTCTTCTTCAGATTCCTTGTCCGAAAATGTGTTTACCATTTGGCATCATGAGAAGAAGATCCCAAGTTGGTTCCACCATCAGGGAAGGGATAGTAGTCTATCAGTCAATTTGCCCGGAAATTGGTATATACTTGATAAATTCTTGGGATTTGCTGTATGTTACTGTGGTAGCTTAATTGACACCACAGCTCAATTGATTCCCGTATGTGATGACGGGGTGTCGTGCATGACCCAGAAACTTGCCTTATCAGAATGTGATACAGAATCACACAGCTATCGAGAACGGTATACACCAATTCATTTTTTCTTGGTACCTCTTGCTGTCTTATGGGATACATCTAAGGCAAATGGAAAAACACCAAATGACTATGGACTTATTAGGCTATCTTTTTCTGGAAAACAGAAGAAGTATGGACTTCGTTTGTTGTATAAAGAAGAACCTGAGGTTGAGGCCTTGTCACAAATGAGGGAAAATAACAATGAACCAACAGAACATTCCAATGTGATAAGGAGGAGCAGATCTGACATTAGTGAACACCATGACTCCGTGACGGATGAATCCAGTTGTTGTTGTTGTCGCATACTGTAATAACATTAGAAACAAAGGTCACATTCCAATGAAAGTAAGTTGCAAGTTTGGAAGCCCTTTGCTCTAAAGCCGGTGGCATTGCCTATGAAGAGTATATGTTTCCTTTGTTTGTAGCAGAACAACTAAACTCTTGGCCTGAGAAAGAGATTCTCGAGAGAACTTACTTCGGTATGCAATAATCCATTCTTTTTAAATCTACATATATCTATACTATATACTTGTCTTATTAGTAAAGGTGACGTGACACCTCTCTTAGACCAGAATAGCAGTCATGTGAAATGAAATCACATCTTCGTTTGCTGACAGGTAAAAACCAATTGCAGATGAATATTCGCGAAGCAAGAAAACTGTGCCAAAATGGATGGATGAAAGAAGCCTTGGAACTGTTCTTCCTTTGGGATGTAGAGCTCAACTAGTCTTGTATTCTCTCCATCAGAAACTGATTTTCACCTTTTCAAAATAATTTTCATCTTGAAAAAACCAGAAGTTTCTTACACACTACATAACTTTAAATATTGCTTGTCGTAATGATCATGCTATAACTTTAGAAATACACTTTTGCAGGGCCGTTTTCATATCTGTACCAAGTTAAATGTGGAGGTTCAGTTTAGTATAGAGGGACTAAAACAACATCATAAATATTGTGTTTTCATTTCAAACTTCAATCGCAGAAGTACAAGATTAATCATACTTTATATACCAAGATATATAAAGTACATAAGAGTTGTTTTTCCATTTGCAATGTTTTCTAACTATGCATAGGGAAAACAGTTCCAGGTGTTTGCATTTCATCAATTAGTTTTTGTGGGGTTCGGTAGGGCGACTCTTTGATGCATAATAGAATACTCAGGCTGCTTCGAGTTTTGACTGACTAAGTGCAGATGAAAATCTTTTTGAAAAAGCATGTGTACATGTAAAAGAAAACTCATGTCGCGGCCAAAATACATAAAGGAGACTTTTTTCAAAGTGGTTAAGGTTGCTCAATTAGACTGAAAATCATTGCGTGGTTTGAATTCACAACAAAGAAAGAGAATACGAGGTATAGGAATTTGTCAACTCATCAGGCTCACGACCTAAAAGGCCATTTTATCGTCTACACAATTGATCAAAGGCGCTTTGTGATTCCCTTGGCTTACCTTTAAAATTAGGTCATTAGGCAACTTTTAAACATGTATGAAGAAGAATTTGGGCTACCAAGTAATGGCGCTATTACATTACCCTGTGATTCGGTCTTCATGGACCACATCATTTCACTGATCAAGAAACGCATAGCTGCCGGAGATCTTCGAGCGTTTTGATGTTTTGAGAGAACAGGGCCCACAAAACAATGCTCCTATCGATTCGTTCATGTTGCTGTACTTCATCTTCTAATTTGCACCAAGAAAGTGGAAATCAGTAACTTCTTGTTTATTGAAGTTATGTCTCGTTATTCAACCCATTTTTTAGTGGATAATATAGGTGACTAATTATTTTCTTTTAACCATTTTGCCACCCCTAGTCTCAGATAATAATTTGCAAAAGGTATTAAACTAATCATTTTTTATACATTTGATTTCCAATATCCACCGATATATCCAATTAAAGATCAATTTCCTCTTATCCCCTTCGCCAAAAACTCTAATGTAATATGACTTCCACTTTCTTGGTGCAAAGAATAAGCTGAATAACAACACGAAGTACTTGAGAGGAGCAATGCTTTGTGAAGATCTCCAGTGGCCACACCTTTCTTGATTAGTGAAATGATGCAATCCATGAACGTTGAATCACAGGGTAATTTAATAGGGCCGCCACTCGGTAGCCCAAACTCTTCTTCAGATATGCTTAAGAGTTGCCTAACGACCTCATTTTCAAGGTATGCCAAGGGAATGACAAATCGCTTTGATCGATTGTATAGATTACAAAATGGCCCTTTTCAACTATATAGGATGAAGATGTACTACAACTATCTTCATCACTACCATTTTTGGAAATGAAATCCTTTTCCGCTGCATGACTGCAAACTTCTGCCATCTCCTAACCATTTTGATGAGTTTCTTGGCACTGATCATTGTCTTTTTTTTTTTGGAAGATTGAAACAAGAAAGTAAACAAGAAATTTAGAGACTTTTTGAGGTTTGAATTGCTAATGCTTGTTCTGGATTGGTAATGAAAAGGCTCATGAAAGGGGGATTATATATTTATACAAGAAACTGGAGATGACTAATTATAATCTTTAGTTGGAGCTGAAGTTTTTGTTACTAATAAAAGGCAAAGCCATGTGCTGATGCTTGTTGATATGGGGCCTTAAATTTGTGGATGAAGCTAGTTTGAAAGGATGGATGACAACAGATTGGACCTATTAGGTATGATATCAGCTCATACCTAAATAATTTGAAGCCATTAAATGAAGAATAGCTTGTAGAAGGCAAAACCATGTGCTACTCCTTTCTTTGTCATGTACATAAGGGATCTTTTAAATTGTCATCTTCTCTAGTCCTATTCTGCTTTTGCTATAACAAATTTTTTTTGGAATTGAGTAACACTGTGGACAAATTTTACTCAAAAGATACATTAACAATAAGAAAACTGAACCAGTTTTTGGTTAATAGTATCAAAACAAACTAAGCGATTCAGCAACCAAAGAAATTAGTCGTTGCAGTTAATTCAGAAGTCTTTTTTCTTTGCTTTTTTTCTTCTTTTTGGTGGACGACTGTACTGGGAAGAAGGATAAAAAGATCATTTGTCACAAAATGGTGTAGTTTATGTGTAAGAAAATGAAGGATATTGATAAATAAAAAGATCATTTATCACAGTTTTTGTGGAGAAACAAAAACTGTGATATTAACCAGTGCAAAATACAGCTTAAAGTCTTCTATTTGAACTATTATGCTTCTTGACTTTTGTTTCCACCTTTGAACAAACTTTGCTTTTTAGCTTATTTGAAAAATTGGGTTGATGCAGCTTTTGACATAATATTCTTATGAATTAGGACTAGAAATTTGGATATTCTACATATTTAGAACCCTATTTTGGTAATTTATGCAGGATCTCGAGGCTATTTTGTGCTTACTGATTGTTCTGTGAATAGTTTTGAGGCCAACCCCAAAATTGACAACATAAAATATGATCATACTTTGTATGTTATTCATTGGTTGCTATATATTCTCATTGCTAATGGAGTTCAATTTGCATTCATAGGACTACTATAAAGCAACTGAAAGAAATCAGATATAATCACAAAGTTAAAGAGTGTTGACAAGAATATGGAGTTTTGATGAATAATTAGATGTTGAATGTTCTGTACACTTGTTGAATATCATGTATCCATTACAAAACATTAAGGTCAACAAACTAGTAATTCTGTGTTTCTTAGTTCTTGAAGGTATAAAGCTGATGAGCATCGACTAGAAGCAACTGATACAAGCAATGCATTTTGAAGATCGATATCTGCACCTTTTCTAATGAGTGATATGATGTAGTTCTTGAATAGTGCATCACACGGTAATATAATAGGCCCATCACTCGGAAGTCCAAACTCTTCTTCAGACATGTGCAATAGTTGTCTGATTACTTCGTGTTGAAGATAAGCCAAAGGAACCACAAATCGCTTTTGATCAGTTGTATACACCACAAAATGCCCTTTGCCAACTATAGAATAAGATGTACTACAACACTCTGCGTCATGGTTATTGGATCTTGGAAAAGAAATTCTCTTCCTCTGCTTGACCGCAAACTTCTGCCATTTCCTTGCTATCTTGATGATTTTGTTAGCACTGATCATGTTTATTTCTTCGGTTTATAGGAAAGAAAATATTGTTTGAGTTTTTAGAAGGTTTGATTGAGTTCTATCTGCTTGATGATCAAAATGTTTTATGGAAGCAATTTATTTATAGCTGAGGCTAGAGTTATGACTTTGAAAATTGTAGCTCTAGTTGTCAACCTGAATCAGGTATTGAAGGCAAAATCATGTGCTGATGATTAATATGGGACCTTAGAAATTGTGGAAATGGCTGGTTGTCTTGTTTTAAGTAAAGAGGTTGATGCATTTATTGAATTATTTGTCAATATATCTTTAAACCAAGTGGCCCATGACTAAGTCATCAACTTCATCCATTCTTCTGGATTTTATTTTAAGGTTGCCATTTGTTCCAAATCATGAGAAGTAGTAGGGTCTAATGTTGTTCAACAAAATGTATGGTCTGAATACTTTGACACTAGCAGAATGAGCAAAACCATGTGAAACTTCATGTATTGTTGTCCCTCAAATTTCTCTTCACCAAAAAACATTAAGTATGTAACTTGCCATTACCTTATATATATATATATATATACTTATACACACAGCATTTGAGCAGAACACAAGTATCTAGACTAGACATTCGAAGAACTTTCATTTTCTGTGCAATTCTGAAAATTCTTGTTCTTTCTTTTCCTTCATCCTTTAGAGTTACATAATATTCCTTGAGACAATGGGTATCAAAGTGATACCATTTATTCAGGCTAATCGATTCTTAAAAAGGTCTTCAACGTTAGAAGGTGTTCCAAAAGGACATTGCTCATATATGTAGGAGAGAGCCAGAAGAAGAGATTTGCTGTGCCAATATCATATCTGAGTCGGCCTTTATTTCAAGATTTGTTAGCTCAAGCTGAAGAAGAATTTGGCTTTGATCATCCGATGGGCGGTCTCACAATACCTTGCAATGAGAATGTGTTCGTTGATCTCACTTCCTGCTTGAGGATATTATGAATAGTACTATGGTGCGAATTCTTCTACACATGAGATTTTGTAAAGTAGGATTAGAACTGAGAAAGAGTAGATTGTAGAGAGAGGTCATTTTCATTGTATAGAACATTGCCAATGTGAATTTCTTTCACAACTGGGCGATGTATAGCCTCTTCTTTTATCATTCTTTTGTCACGACCCGGATTTTCCGCCCTCGAGAGTCGTGATGGCGCCTACTCGTGAAAGCTAGGCAAGCCAACCATTTGCACAAATTACCTTTTTCCCATTTTAAGTCTTTAACAAGTGTGAATCAACATTTATAAATAGCGAAAATTTAAAGCAAGCAGAAGAAAACGATTAAAACATTTGAATAATTATCCAATACAACATCTTATGCAAAATCTACCCAGAACTGGTGTCACGCTTCACAGACAGTCTAGAATTACTACAAACAAGGTCTGAAAGATAGCTAATACACTGTTTCTGAAATAAGTATATGAAACAGAATGAAGGGATAGGGGGAGACGCCCTGCTGCTCCGGTATCTGCACACAGTGCAGAGTGTAGTATCAGCATAACCGACCCCATATGCTGGTAAGTGCCTGGCCTAATCCCGACAAAGTAGTGACGAGGCTAGGACCAGACTACCAACTAAACCTGTGCAATTATATTATATACAGCGGAAAATAAAATAGAAATAAATAATTAAAGATGGGAGGGGGACATGTTGTGGGGGAATATCATTTATCAATAGTAGTTCACAAGAAAAGCATAAAGACAATTTAGAATTCATAGCAAAAGAATAAGGAAATCGTAACCAACCAATAGACATTTTTATTATCTATTGTTGCGGTGCGCAACCCGATCCAAATCATAAAAATATTGTTGCAGCATGCAACCCGATACATATCATTTATTACTGTTGCAGCGTGCAACCCGATCCAAATATAATATTGTTGCGACGTGCAACTCGATCCAAATATAATATTATTGCGGCGTGCAATCCGATCCACATATACAGTTCAACACCAATCACATAGAGAGTCTCGGCAAGGGATCAATAAAGAAACAACACTATCCCAGCAAGGAAATCAACATATAAGTAAATACGTTCCGGCTAATGAAAATCAGCTATAACCACACTTGTTCCAACATCTAACTTCTTCAACTAGCACCAATACTCAATCATAAGTAATTACCACGAGAATAATCATAATCCTTGCACAACATAGAGAATCAACAACTTAGGCATTCGTAGTATTTGTTAAGAATACAACAATTTCATTTTAGGACTCACGGTCATGCTTGACACCAACGTATAGATACTCGTCACCATGCATATACGTCGTACTCAACAAGTAACACGTAGCAAATAGGACACAACTCCTAATACCTCAAGCTAAGGCTAGACCAAACACTTACCTCGAACTTCCACGGCCAACTCAAACCTCAAACACCGCTTTTCCTTTTGAATTTGGCTCCATATCAATTGTATCTAGACATAATCGACTTAATAACATCAATAAACGCTAAACAATTCAATTCCAATGCTTAATTATAGATTCCTATCATTCTTCCCAAAAAGTCAAAAATTGACCCCGGGCCCACTTGGTCAAAACATGAGGTTCGGACCAAAACCCGATCACCCATTCACCCACGAGCCCGAACATGTAATTAATTTCAAAATCCGACCCCAAAACGAGGTCTAAATTCCAATTATACAAAAAGCCTAACTCTACCCAAATCCCTAATTTTCTACTCTTAAGAACATGATTTAGGCCTAGAAATCTAATGGGTGTTAATGAAAATTGAAGAAAATGAGTCTAAGATTGCATATCTATGAATTTGTGGTTAAGTTTCTTTCAAAAACCGCCCATTTTGGAATTTGGAAGAAGAAGTTATGAATTTTGGGTTAAATCCCGTGTGTTCTGTTAATGTTTAAAAGAGCTGGGCGACAGTGTTCATCGCATTCGCGAGAACACTGTCGCGATCGCGAAGAGCTGCCAAATCATGGACTTACCCGATCGCGGGTCCTCCTACGCATTCGCGAAGGGTTGGCCCCCCTGACCTTCGCGTTTGCGGGCCTGTGCACGTGTTCGATTAGAAGAACAATCACCTTCCGGTCTAGCCCCCCATCTACACTACGCATTCGCGGGAAATGGGTCGCGTAGAGCAACCCTCCAGTGCTCCGCGTTCGCATCCCTTACTTCGCGTTCGCATTGAACAAATCCACCCCTACCCAATTTTCCCTTTCACGATCGCATGATAGGCTTCGCGATCGCGAAGCATAGAATACATGTGCATCAGAAACAGTAGTTCTGCAATTTTTCATAAGTTCGAAAACCTTCCGAGACCTATCTGAA